AGGTAGTAATGAATCAAAAGAGACGTCGTGTATTGCAGGTTTATTGTACGAACGATGTCCATGACTACGCTTACGTCTCTGAGTATTGTTAAAAAGTCCCATCACATTTACATTATTACACTGCGGGCTAGTAAGATTTCCAACACTATCGACATTGTCATTACATCCATAGGGAAAAGCTGTCCCTAGTTTCCTAATCCATACTTCTTCACGTTGTCTACGGAAAGGTGTACTCAACGACGGACTATTTGTGTGGTGATAAATCTTTTCCAGAATTCTAACTTTCATTGATAAAATAGAATGATCAGGTGAATTAAAATGTTTATATAAAAGCTGCTGACCACCATGATTTATTTGAAATCGATGACCTGATATTCTTTTGTTAAGCGATCCCTTGGTTTCACCGACATAAATAAGTCCACACAAATTACATTCTATTCCGTAGACAACATTAGAAGATTTGCAGTTCAGATTTTCCCAAGTTTTGGTATAGAAGCTCTGTCCAGTAAGATTACTGGTGAAAGAAGTGTCAGTTATCAAAATGTCACAGGTTTTACAGTTTCGCACAGAACATTTTGAAACCGAAGACATTGGATCGCAAAAGGAATCATCCAATATATTTGTAATAGAAACTTTACACTCTTTCAATTTTGTATATGATGTATTGGTTTTATACCAAAACTGGGAATCTGAAGACTGTACATATGACAAATGTTTAATATCCCTGAGGATAATCCGAGGGGCACCAAATGAACTCCTTGAGTCTGTGTCCCTTATAGACTCAAAGGAGTGACGCCTTTTTATACTGGGCGACGCGCCTGCCAGTATCATTTCGTTATTATGTGTACCATCTAAATCACTTCTCAAAATAATAATAATAAAATAATAATCCTCTCAAATTATCTGCATATTTACACATACTGGAACCAACTGCGAATCCGAAGGAACATAATAACATTTATATCCACATTTTTTTCTGTAACGAGGCTATTCGCAGCTTGTTTTTGCTTAACCTCTGGTAAAATTACTACAGATGTATAAACAGGGTTATTTTCGCCCCTTCACACTTGAAAACAATTTTGTCTCGTTTTAAATTCACCCCGTCATAGTTTTGTTTTAGAAATTAATATACTGTATTCGCCCCTCTTTAAATTCGCCCAAAGAAGGATATGGCGAAGGGGGCGAAAATAAAACGGAGGCGAAATATTCCCTATATATATTATTAAGAAAATAATTGACTAAAAATGTCATTTATTGAACCACCAAATGACTAAAACTACATAACATATTACATAAAATTATATAAAAATTCATCGGCTAGGTTTAAAACAAAATATATAGTTAATGATAAATTGACTAGTTTACCACAATGACTGGTCACTTAACAAAATTCTTTATTATTGCAAGATAAAAACAGACCAGCTAATAGTATATTGTTAAAGACACTTAAAAAGCAATCAGGTAGTGCACAAAAAGCCATAAAGATAGAGTGAGAAAAGAATATGGAGATAACGAAAAGTATTCAATATCAAAGTCCGTAACACAATACAAAACAGGGGCATAGCAAACATGGACCTCCGAAACATCAGAGGTGGGATCACGTGCCATGGAGGAGTGAGCATCCCTGCTGACCGGTCACACCCGCTGTGTGCTCCTTGTCAAGATCGGGAAATAACGGAAAAATCCGTCGTCAATTCAGTGTATACATAATGGACTAGAAATTGGTATGAAAAACGTCAGTCAGCATTTGACTCAATGATAAATTGTATTTGCTGACAAGGTCATTGTATCGACCATAGAAATTACGAAATGATGACTTTATACGAAACTGCTGATATTCTTGTTTCATCAAATTGCTTGTCAATAATTTACATCGTTTTAGAAATTGTTCATACGTAGAGCATGCTCTTGCGTATCGAATCAACTGAGATATATATACTAGTACTCCGCTTGCAAGTGATGAAGGTATATTGCTGCACAAGTAAGGAAGTTGACGATAGAATAGTTAAAGTCATCACGTTTATGATATAGCTTGGTTGTTAGGTTACCATTAACGTCTTTTTCAAGTAAATTTTCCAAGTATGAAACAGATGTGTCAGACTCTGTGGTATCTTTTATATCAAGGTCACCAGGATATATCATATCGACGCAGAACATTTGGAAATTGACAATACGTCGTCGATATATCTAAAGTCGAGTTGAAGGCCACGGAAAGTGTTTTCTTCTTGATTTTCACGCAAAAGGTTTTGCACAAATTCTGCTTCCTGTGAATATAAAAAAAGGAAAATAATATACTGAGTACATGGTTCATCGATTTTTAATATAGCTTAGAAAGATATTAAACTGTAATTTACGCGATAAAAATGCATGAAATTTTACTTTTTTATAGTAAAATTTTACCAAAATAAAATTACCGTGTATATAAATTACTTAAGTTTAGTAATACATGAGCACTGCATCCTAACCAAAACACTTGGAATCAGTGCAAATAGTTTAATCATTTAACGTAAACACAAACACCTTTGTGATTATCTTTTTTTTTTACATACTCTAGTTTTATTTTGATTAAAATGAAATAAGAAGATAACGAATGCTATTCCAGTTCAAAAGTCCAATAAACAATACAAATTAGGAGCAGAGTAAACAAGGATCTGTAAAACATCAGAGGGGGATCAGGTGCCATGACACAGCAAGCATGCCCTGCCGACCGGTTTCTGATAATCATCGGCTGACTCCCAGATCTTCTCATTTAAAGTGGAGGCACAATCCAACAAAGGAATTCCGAGTAGCCTTTGAGCTAGTGATTCGCTGTCATATTCAAAAAATAAAAATTGAAACAATCTTACCAAAGAATAAGAATCTAGCTGTTGATACAAAGTGGAGGCACAAACCATCCGAGGAATTCCGAGTAGCGTTTGAGCAAGTGGTTTGCTGTCATTTTCAAAAAAAAAAGTTATGAAGACACAAATCATATTATTGAAAAGTTTACTTGTTGGGGGAGGGGGATTTGAATTTAAAGAAAAATTAAGTACAAGTATTAAATGGTAAAAACATGATTTCATTTGATATCGTTTCAAATAATGTCTTTAAAAACATTTTTAATTTAATCTTAACTTTATTAAATGTGGCTAGGTGAAAATTTGACTTTAAAGTTGACCTGTTATCGTAATCTTTTTTTTTTTTTTTAATTTGTCAGGAACGTAGGTGTAACATGAAAAATATAATATTTGCAAGTGAAATAATATTTAGTATTTATATAGTACAGTATCATTTACAGTGTGTCATGTACCTAATTATGTAACACCACACAATATTACGCACTGGTCGGGTATATACTAAGATCAAATTGAGTTTCATTGAGATTTGTATTCTGTGTATACACAGTAAACATAAATTCAGACATCCATGATATCATTGTAGACAAATTACAAATTTTGATAGTACAATAATATATGACGGGAATATTTGAATCTTTCGAACGATTAATTTTTGTCCTAATTAAAATAAATGAATAAAATGAATTATGGATGTTTCGGGACCTGACAACACGTTGTGGGACTTGGGTTAACACGTTTCGGGACTTCTAAATATTTTGTTAAGGAAATGAAATAAAATTTGTTTACTTGTGTTTTTATGTTTATACATGTATAATTTCTCAGTTTGATACAAAATTTATAATTTAAGAAGCACAGATTGGAGTTTTTATTAGTTTTAAAGTTTGAATACGGCATGGAGCACTTTTTATAAAGTATTTGGTTAAAATTCGACCAAATTTGTTTGTTTTTTTTTTTTTTTTTGCAAAAATGTATTTGAGTAGAATTAAAGGAGACAATCGTAACTGCTGTGTGAAGACGACGGAAATCGTGTTCTTTTTAAGCCTTTCTATCTCTCCTTTTTTCAATAACAATTTTATATATTTGATTTCAGATTTGTTTACAGAATTTACAATTAAGGCTAAGCTAGCACATGTGCAATAAAAATTTTATGATTTACAGGTAGTTGTTTTGGATCAGAATTAATCTGAAATATTCCATGTTGAACTTTTTAAACATCAATGTATAACATTTATAATTATTATTTTTAATATGTGAATTGAGTATTTAAATCAACCTCTAATTATTGAAATTTTAAATTGAGGAAAAAATACTTTTCTGAGAGAGAAAAAATCTCGTAAAAAAAATTTTCTTTTATAAAATTATTAGATGGTATTCGTGGGATTCGAACCCTAGCATTAAAAATCCGACGTATCAATAACATACTGCTTTGAGACTAACGCGTTAACCACTATGCTACATTTGAGGCATTTAAATTATGTGTGTGATATAACCTGCGACTTTATGGACTTGAAGCATTTCTCGGAAAGATGCTAATGTTGTGTCATAAAAGTGTACTTTTAAGGTATAGTGGGTCTTCGCTCCATGTTTTGAAAACCAAAAAATGTGTATTTTATTGCACACTTTTAGGATCCTCTTTCAAAAAAATGGAGAGAAGACCCAACCATATTGAAAAAATGTGTTAAAGTATGAGAAAATGATCGTTTTTGTTCTTTTTATTGTGTGTAAGCTTTTCCAACGGCAAATATTTTCAGTCTTTTTTGAGATTTTTGTAAATTGTAGATATTTTACATAAAGTATACTTTAATATTAGATGAAATATCAAGTAAAATTTGGATTTAATTGAGATTAAAATTTTGACTTCTTATCTGTCGCACTATAGGCATTCTGCCCGCCTTATTCGCCCATCTTCTTTATACAAAATGTTACGGGTAAGAGAAATGTATATTTTAACCTGGATAAACAGATTATTTTTCATCTAAACGTTTCAAAGTTACTTTGAAATTATTTACTTAAAAAAAAATACTTTTGTTGAAATGTTGAGTGGGGGGGGGGGGGTCAAACGACTTGCGTGACCTAGGCTAACTTATAACTGTGTCATCTCTCCTAAAAGATGACAAAAATCATCGGGATCGGAATTCAAAATACTTTGGACAAGACTAGGGTGGAAGCAAACGAGACTGGCGTCTGGCGTTGAAAAGGGCAATTCATCATTTTCATGTGGATATATTAGTCTATAAAATCACTGTAAATAGCAACAATGTAGGGTTAAACATCTGGAGAAATTGGTAATCAAAATGATATTATTTTTCCTTCTTGTTTTTATTTGTTTACGATAGAATTTGAGTAAATAAGGAAGAAGGAAGTACATAATTTTCAAAAGTTTTTCAACATATCAGAGTCAATTTAAATGTTTTAATGTTTTAACAAAAAAGGAATTTGTAGGATAATTTCATTTCACTGTAACATTTTTACTGATAATGTTGTCACCAAGCTCCAAATCTGGGGGTTGTGTAGGCCTAGTGCTAGTGGCTTCAAAAGAATTTAGGTCATTGAAATTTGATATTATCATGCGCGGATCTAGAAGGGCAGGGGTTCTGCATTCTCTTGGATTTTAAGTTGTTAAATCTTCGCAGTAAAGTAACTAAATAAATGATTGATGTTTGATAACCCCTTCAAACATTTTAAAAATGGACCCTTTTTTAGTCTTGGTACTAGGAAGAATCGTAAAACTTTAGATATTTAGTCATTAAGTTGCTTTACTCCCCTTCACACACAAAATACACCTCCACCCTACATGTGCCACTGCATATCACAACCATGAAATATGATAAATAAAAAATATATATAACTTAAAAAACAAGAGATGCTGGATTAATTACATCATCATTATAAGGATTTAAACAAGAGGCCCATGGGCCACATCGCTCACCTGAGTACATGGGCTAGTTAAAAAACATAAATCAGCTCAGTATTGAAAAGTTAACCTTTTGGGGGAAGGGGGTTTGAAATTTCTATTATTTGAGAATGTCGCTATATCAATAAAGCATACGGCTATGTTTTCAGTCAGGTGTAAATTTAGGGTGGCTTATGAAAAAATAATTTTTACTAATTTTCTATAAAAATTAATAAACCTGAGACACAAATATAATATACTTTACAGGTTAGAGATATATTTAACACAATTTCATAAGTCAAAGTCACTCATAAAAAAAATTATTCAATTTTTATTTCAACATTCCTCCTTTTTTTGGAATGTAAAATGTGACATTGCATAGGGTCATATATTAAACGGTTGTATGAGCCTATAAAATCTTACTCTACAGACACAGTTCTTTTGCTAATTTTACTAGCGATGTTTCTTCAATAAAAATCAGTTTTTCTAGTTGCCATGGAAACTGTCTTTAATTAATAAAAGTTAAAATGAAAATTGTGTGTCGGACGAACTCTTGTCTGTCCAATTTACACTGACCAAAAATGATTAAATTGACAGATGTTGCATGCGTGTTTAAAGCTTCTTGCCGCTTTCAGCTGTAGATATGCACTTTCTTGCATAATAAAATTCATTTCTATCCAGATAACATTGTTTTTCTGTGAAATATGTTAAATTAATTAAATCTTCTCCTTTGTCTGTCCTATGTTACGGGCGAAAATTGTAAAATTAAATACCGATTTTTTCAATCAACGGACCTCTCTGGGGCCCCTTTTACGACATACATGTCTTGAGATGGTAGAAAACGATTGCATCACGTGTTTACCGCAAACCAGTCTGTTTACAAGATGGACGGAGGCAAGGAAAAATAGTTGTCCGTCGCACTGAAGTATGTAAGTTACGGGCGAATGTGTGTTCGTCCGAATGTTCGTCCGAATGTGATATTTTATGAAATTTAGACGCCAAAATCAATTAACATCACACATATTCACACATTATCATGCTACATTACCGTGATTGTTATTATAGATTGAAAAAACTTCGTAATTTCATCAAAATATAAAGTAAAGCGATAATTTTTCAATCTGGACAGAATGATTTCCATTCGGACGTAACAAGGACAAATACTTTATAGATATCTATGTTATTATGGTAATTATATTGAATTCTTATTGTTTAATGTCCAGCAAACTTGAGTGAAATTTTTTTAATGATCTCGGTCATATCTATAAAAGTTGATTACAGATTACCTCTAATTAATTCAAATGAAATAGAGTTAATATCTTAATTTCTTCTTTTAACAGTATATACCAAAGAGACAGTTGAAGATCTTGAGAGGAACTTCATAGCAGCTATATTAAGATTATGTCAATAATTACCTGAATAAATATCTTTTAGATGGAGATAGATCATTTTGTGTGTTTTTTCCTCATTTATTATGTGTAATAAAAAATACAAAAGAGATTAAAATTCCCTAAATCCTCAGTGTCCGTCCAGGTTTTTCCAACATCTGTCTTCTGTTTGTCCAACATAAAAAGTGACATTTTAAAGTTTCATACTAGTGTTATTTATCAATTTTTCCCATTTTTTTTGCATTCTATGTCTTTGGTCATCATATATTTCAAATTCCAAAGCTGAAAATACTTCTCCTTAAGCACTGAGAACAGAAAAATAGACTTTTTGTCTGTCCCTGTTCGTCCAACACTTTGTCACTTTTTTCATATTTTAATGAGTTTAAATGATTTTGAAATATGACAAAAGGTTTGAACATAATTGCTTACCTAGAATATAGTACAAGAAATGTAGATTTGCAATTTATATTGTAGTTGATGGAAGATACAACCGATTTTGTCTGTCCTGTTCGTCCAACATGTGATGTGGACAGCCCAATTATTTTTCATGAATAAAAACAATTTTCCTTAAAAAGTTATCTTTTTAACGATGCAGTTAGCAAGTATAGATATATATTTTATCCCATGTCAAAATTTAAGTTGATATTTCAAGAAAAAAATTCTCAAGTATTTGTCACAGATATTCTACACTGTACTGAAAACGTAGCCATACATCTTTAATTTTGCCATACTTAAAAAGAAGATTTTTACAGATTTTTTTTTCACAATATTACTTGATCTCCATTGTTACCCCTCACTAACACCCCCAAGGACATCATTTGAATACATTTAAACTTCATTACATTCAGATGCTTAGTATCGTTTTACAAACAACGCGACAGTTTATTTGATAAGGCGTGCTAAAATTCTGTATGCTGATTATGGTTTTACTCATTGATTGGATGTTTGATTTCAATGGAATCAATAATAATTTGCATATGAAACTCCGAATTCAACAATAGATAGTTTTCGATTGACCAAGAGTTGCTTCCCGTTGGTCGCCATACTGGAGGTCCAAACGCTCATATTCCTTCATTGTTCAACCAATTTAAATTTTTTATATTTGCTATTCTGAATTAGAAATCATTATTTTTCTGAAGTATATAAATTTTTGGAAACTTCCTTTATTTAAAAAAAATTATTTGATAAAAATTTTCTACCAAATATTTCTGCTATAGTTTCTTAAACTTGGTAAGACAAAGAGGGAAAATCACCGAGTCGACCTCCAATATGGCGGCCAACGGGAGGTAACTTTCGCTAAATTCAGGCCTATCGAAAACTATCTATATCCTGATAATACTGGCCAATCACATTGAATGATTGTCACTCAATGATTGCACTCAGCAGCAACACGTGGTCTGTCTAAGACCGATTTCTGTCCTTATAAAAGCTGTATTATATTTGTAGTGATTTGACCGCATGTGGTTTTATATACGTGCATGATAAAGAAAACTCAAAGAATGGAATTAGTAAGCAAGGCTACTATGCTACTGTTATACTTTGTAGCTATCAGGTAAAAAATCTTGCTTTGTACGTCCACATGTAATTGTTGTTTACTGCATACTCGTTAACATGTCATTTAATATGATTGGTCAGTATTGTCAGTGGTATTGTTGGGTTCTGTTTCATATGCAAAGTATTATTGGTTCCATTGAAATCAATTGTCCAATCGAAAAGTAAAATGATAATCGGCATATAAAATTTTAGCACGCCATATCAAGCAAACTGTCATGCTGTTTGTAAAACGATAATAAATGTCAATTCTACTAAACAAAACTTTACTGTTCTGGGGATTTTTTTCCTATGCATATTCTTATGCAGAACTTTGATCCCTCATTGTGGCCATACCCTAACCCCCAGGGTCATAATTTGAGCAAACTTTAATCTTAACCACCTGAGGATGTTTCCCTTTGTCCCATATAAAAAATATAATCATGGAATTGGTGTTCTCCAGAAAATTTTTAAAAATAGTTTAGTATATATTCCGATGTAAAAATTGTTCCCACATTGTGGCCCAAGTCCCCACCCTACCCTCTAAATTCTGATTTGAACAATCTTGAAAATACACTACCTTAGATGAGTCAATGTTATTTAGTCCGTAATTATTACTGGTAGGCCGAAGTCTTCTGTTTTTCTCTGGTTGAACTATTTGTGGGGAAAAACAAACCACTAAGAAAAACCCCTAGGCATGTTTATTGGCATAGTAGTCACGTTGTTTAATCCGATAAGTATTCTCTACAAGGCTGCACAGATTTTAAATATGCTCATTGTGGGGCCTTGACATCAGAATCCTATTTGATTTGTTGTTGTAATCTGATTTCTATACCATGTGTATACCGTGCTTAGTTTTTTTATGATCTCGATCTGTATTTCGGATGAAAATTCTTACAAAATTGCACAAGAAAGTTACAACAAAATTTAACAATAACATAAATGATTTATTATGACCCCTTCCAAGAAGGGAGGGCATATGCTTTGCTGCTGTCTGTCGGTCAGTCTGTCGGTCCATTTAGTTTCTGTCCATTTTCTTAACAACCGTTGCACATACTGATATGAAATTTGGTATACAGATACATCAGGTGAATATCTGGGTGAAGTTTGTTTTGGGTACGATCTTGCCATTTTTGACAGAGTTGTGCCCCTTGGACTTAGAAAAATTCCACTTATGTGCAGTTTCTGTTCATTTTCTTCACAGAGGTTGAACATATGGAAATGAAATTTGGTATTCAGATTGATCAGCTGAATATCTAGGTCAAGTTTTGTTTTGGTACAATCACATCATTGTTGTCAGAGTTATGCCCCCTGGTTATTAGAAAAATTCCACTTATTTGCAGTTTCTGTTCATTTTCTTTACAGAGGTTGTACATATTGAAATGAAATTTGGTATACAGGTTTATCAGGTTAATATCTAGGTCAAGTTTTGTTTTGGATATGATCGCACCATTTTTGACTGAGTAATGCCCCT